CATCTTCCTCCTCCTCAGAGAATCTGAAGAAATTCTGCAAGTCGCTATTTTCAGACCTTCTTCCACATGGCTCTCTTTCTTAGACCTAATGAGGCTGTAGTTTCCTTCTGGAAGGGGACACGAAGGATGTGATGCACAGAACTTCCATTGAGATGTGCATCTGAGGCATGCTGACCTCTCATTCCAATATTCCCACCAGGAATTTCTTGACTGTCTCCAAGCCAATGTCATCTATCCCTTAGAAAACCACAGCAAAGCAATCACTGTCAATCTCTGCAATGTAGAGACCACAAAGCTATTTCAAAATGAACTGAGCAGAATTTGCTCTGCTCTTGTGGAATCACCAAGGGAAGGAAACATGCTGCCCAGAAGTGTCCATGAGGGTACTGAGATGCTGCGATGGATGGTTGGAGCTCATGAAGGAGTTTCTCTCAAAACCAAGACACTATCTTGCTCTRGAGAGAAGGTTACATTTCCTACCAGCATCCCTCCTACTGCTTCTGAGGGCTTTACTTTTGCAGGTTCTTCTTACCTTCTCTGTCAACATCTGACAGTTGTTGTCATGCTGCAGTCTTCTTGTACRTGTTTCTGCAGAGCTCTTTGACCTTGCTCCTCAACAGCTGCAGTAAAGGTGTCACTGGAAGGGCTAAAAAGCACTATTTAATTTGCAACATCAGTGCAAACATCAGCGCAACATCAGTGCATCTGGAACGGGAGGAGGGATGGTGAAAGCTGTTGCAGGGGCCCCCCAAAATCCCCCCCAGATATTMCTGGATAGAAGCTTCCCTTTTCACAAGTCTTAAATGCACAAGATGTGTGGCTGCACTGCATGCTCACAGCAAACACCTTTCTATATATTTTTTTGTAAGTGTCCAAGTGTTCTTAAATTAGAGAAAATGCTCATTTTTTCATTGTGTGTTTCAGCACCAATGTTATTTTACAGAGATAGTAGAAATATTTTCTTTTCTTTTTATCCTGAAAAACTTGAAAATGAATTAATTAGCCCAGAACTTAATCTGATAATTCTCTCTTCATTCATGTCTTTAAAACCAGAGCTTTGTAAAGTTAATTTAGTCGGGTACTTAATTTCTGTGGGGAATAAATAAATAAATAAATAAATAAATAAATAAAWTTGTTATAAGTTGAGGCTAAGTATGTATGTACTTTTCCTATAGATTTTACTTTAGGTCAGCACTGGAAATCAAGAATTTATGCCCTCTTTTTTTATTGGTTAGAAGGACCCTGTGTTTTAAAGTGTTAGTTATTGGCCAGTGGGTACTGTCAGGACAGACAGGTATTCAGACAGCTGACAAAGAAACTGTCCACTTGCATTTTATGTCTCACGATAGCTACATTTGTCTTTCTGCTTTTAAGCATGATTTTAATTGTTAATAAATTCTGAATTCTGCAGTCTGCTCCGAAAGCAGACTATTTTTTTTTAATCCCACAGTCCAAACCAGCTACTGTCAACTCTAATTCTCTGAAAAAGTTACTTACTGCACCATAGTTATTGCTTTGCCACATCTGGCAGCTTCTGCTAATGGTCTCTGTCTCCCCATATATGTATTTTTAATTTATCCTTGAATACTWAAGAAGCAAAAATGCATCGCTGGTTCCCTCTTGTGGTAACCTGAGTTGCACACAGAAAAGCCGTACTCCTATAGAAAAAATAAATCGCAAATACTAATAAAATTTGTTGTTATTCTGATGATGTTTGAAGAGTATCACTTTCTTGCCAATCTGCAGACAAATCAATATTCATGTCCCTCTATTATTGTTACAAGACTTAGGTTTCTGGATGTAGCTTTTCTTTTGGATGTTTAACAATACTATTTAGGTGTTCAGAATTTCGGCTCTTGCTAGTAGTCTGCTACAGAAGACTTGAGAACCATCGTTCATTATGACCTGCTGTTTGCAGACAAGTCCTCCTCCTCTTTCAGCTGTATCCTAATTGAGTCCTTCTCTGTGTGGTGCATGGTATCATGTGTCAGGGTGTTCAATAATGAAGCAGATCCGCGTGGTGGGACAAAGGCAGCAGACACAGTTGAAGGCTTTGAGCCTACTTGTCACTGCTCTGATGCAGCACGACCTGTTTTGCACGGGGCCAGCATGGGACGACAGACCACGCAGTGGGTTGCACGATCAGTGTTTCTGCATCACCCACTACTATAAGCATTGTGACACTCTCTGGAGGACGAAGGATCCCAGATTTTCTTCAAAAAGGRCGCTGAAGTTTTAAAGAGAAGACTTGGAAAATTAAGATGAGCTTTACCTTAAAAAGGGAACGTAAGAGCAGACATTATAAAAATATTCATGGACATGGATAAGGGAGAGGAGACAGGTCAAGAGATTTGATTTTCTTTGTTTTGTAGTGCAAGAACGAAGACATACACTGGAAATGAAAAGCAGGAAACTCAGTTTTTTTTTTCTTTTAGTGAGCATAGGGTGCACCCTATTGACAAAACCAAGTAGTCTGCAACGTTCAGCAAGATCTGTATCAGGAAACAGGGGCGCTTTGGGGCAGCTATCTCATGTGCACCTATGGGAGGCTTCCTTGCACCTCCTTGTGAAGCACATGGTGCTGAAAGCTGGAGTTAGACTCCCGGCTGGCAAAGCCTCAATCACTTGCTGTGTTCATCCATAGAGGAGTGGGGTCTTCTGTGTGTCAAGAGGAGCTTGGAGAAAAACACCTTAGCGGCAGGGTTACAAGCTAAGAAGCCCATAGGTGAAGCTGTGTGCATTGGCAGAGCAGCGTGTTGGGCGAAAGGAGAGGATAAGGATAAGCTTTGGCATGGTGGATTCATAACCAATTACTTCTCTCAGCTTAGCACCAAGGAACAACAAAAATTCCCTTGGGAAAGAAATCTGACAGTTCACTTCCTCCTGGATGTTAGCTCTGCTTCCGAAATAAAAAGCATTTGGAATCTAAGAGCTATTTCCTAGACAGAGAACGCAGACAACCTCCTCGCACAGGACTGAAGGAAGGGGTTCATTTGGGGAGAAATCATACAGGTTTTGGCAGGAGGGGAAGGCAGGGTGGAAAAGGAACCGTGCTACCTTCTGCCAAAATGCTTTTGATAAAATTAAAGCTGAGCCAGATGGTGATGGAACAGGCTAATGTTACCATATGGCAGGATCAATCATGCAAGAAATATGCTACTTTAAAGAACGTGTGAAACTGATAGATGTTAATATTGCAAATATTTGAGATTTGTGTCTTGAGCGTTCTCATAGGCTGTGCAGCTGGAAGAAGATGCATGTGTTCAGGAAGCGCTCACCCGGATTGCAGTAGTGTTCCTGGGGGATGTTTCTCCTCCACTTTCCTCAGAGGCAGGAAGCATCTGACTGAGCTGCTGCTTTGCTCTCCCCACGCAGAGTGTTGGGTGCCCATACTGAATATATATACATCTTTAGATCCATTTGTCAAAAAGGAGAATGGAGACACTGGGAAGGGAATGGCTCCCTCCAGACACAGCAGATCAGGGACACTGGTACCACCCATTTTGCAACTTGCAAGACATCCAGAGCTGATGTGGATGAGAGCTGAGTGGGCCCAAGCTGAGAAGTGACAGATTTGCCTACGTAGGAGTCAGAGAAAGATCCAAAATGCTGGATCTGAAGGAGGGGTTGAGGTGTGTGTGCCGGCAGCTAYGGTCATGGCTTCTAGCACTAATTCACCCTCCTGTCTCTTCTAACCCCAGACTATGRCAGGAGAAGTGAGCTCATAACTCTAGGAGCTGACTCCTCCACCACTACCCATTCCCACGTTTCCATCCCCCCTGTCACAGTGAACACAAGACTCTGRCTGTCACCCAGGGAGTAACAACCAAGATTACCAGGGATGGGGAAAAGTTTAAACAGTTTTATCCTAGGTAGAAAGAAAATTTATTTCAGAATGTGGGAGACATTTTCTGTTTTGGCAAGCCAGATGCTACCAAGAAGAACAGGAATGGTAGCCTTAAAAATATTTGTGGTATAGAAACATACATGGCACCAGGTGCATGGCTGGCACGTTGGCCTGCCTTCTCTGGGGAAGAAAAAGGGCTTTGGGTAAGAAAACGGGCAGAAGTAACTGGTTTTTGTTGGTTAAAGGCCATCTGGGAGGTGTCAGAGGGCAGAGCGAGGCCCAGCTCATGGATTCGGAAGGGACGGCTGCGTTATTTGCCATTGCTCGGGACTCAACTCTCTTCAGTCACTGCCCATGAGCACTGGTTGGACAGATCTCCAAGTCAGGCAAGCTTCACATTACGGCTGGTTTATTTTTTATCCCAACCATGTCCCTAGAGGTACACACATTCTTCTGCTGATGGATACACAGAGAGATAGGTTTGGAACCRGACAGTAATTGGGCATTACAAGTTTTTAATATTTACAGAGCAGACCTCTCTTTTTTACTGTTAGTTTGTCCTCTGGTGTTTCTTGGGGAAGAAAGGAATGAAAACTTCCTTCTGAGTGAGGAGTTGCTAGAGCAGAATTCCTGTGCGGGATTTCCACTGCACATCTATCTTTACTGTGCTACAAATACATCATATAATTAAGGCTGTTAAGTACATTTTCAGCAACTAGCATACAAAACTTATTTGCCTGTTTACTACTATTACCTGTAGTAATAAACAGCAGCATTTTTATCATGATTAAAATAAACATTCCCTTGGTTTTGCAAGATTCAATAAGGGTAACATTAAGGATCTGACAAAAGCAATCAAACAAATGTAGAGGCTACAAAATTAACTTAGAGATTTCTGATAGCTGTAAGCAGGGTTTTCCAAATGTCCTGGTGACTGCTCTCCATGCTGTCATTACTGTGCATCCCATTGCACGTCCCTGGTGAAAAGTTTTGTGAGTGCGAGCCTCGCTGCTGGCAGTTTCACATTTGTGGAGAAGTCTGTGCTTGCTGTAGGGACATGACCAGGTTGTTCTTCCTTCCCACTTACTCTTAACTACCTGGTGTATCCTGACACCTGCAGAATCTTGCAGATTCCCTGGACTTGTGCAGYTGTGCTGGGCATCTGCTGCAGGTGGGGCCTGATCCTTATTGACCAACAGTGTAAAGCAAATCTGGCATTATTCAACCAAATGTTTAGACATTCAAGCAAGGCATGCAGGCAGGAAAGGGAAAAGGACAACTGTAAAGTGCTTGCCAGCAGCTTGTGGCACAAGTTTCCAAATCACGATGCTGTTCCCATCCCACACATCCAGGCTGTGCTGGATGCATGTTGGTGAACGGGCAAATGCCTAGTTCAGCATTTGTTTTTCAACTAAGGCCAAAGTAACAGCATGTAACATGCCAAAGCTGCTAGTAACTTATTTTGCAGAAGTTCTTCAATTATCGCCTCCTCTCACCAGAATGACAGATGCAGAGTTGCCCTTGGGATGGAATTTCTCTGCAAAGGCACCACCTGTTGAAGCTGGTGTCGCGTGTCAGTGAAGAAGCAGCAAGACAACTGAATGTTACAGCTGGTGCTTCTGCCATTTTCCACAACGCAGGGGAGAGGACAGGCTGTTTGGGATGTTTTGCACAAGGATGGTTACAGGAGCTTACAGGGACCTTGCATTAGAGATGAGAACTTGGCTGGTTAGGCTAGTGCTAAATGCTCTTGAGATAATGGCTAGTATGAGAGGGATTCAAAATGGTCCCAAACTCGAGCTTATTCAAATCCTTTGGAAAAGGATGGCAACCTTAGACCACTAGCTTAGCTTTAATGAAGTGCATAGGCAAGAATATTTACTCCCTTCTGCCCTACTGTGCGAAATATGTTCGAGTCTAGCAGGAAAAGCATCCGCAGCGACGGGGAAGGAGGGGATTACAGCTCTTCACTCTCTGGTAGAATTCGCACCCAACCTTGTGGTGCTCTGTTGAAGCTGGGTCTGCGGGACATCAGCTCCAGAGTGCTCAGGTTGTCAAACTCCATCACAGGCAGAGAGAACGTGTCGCTGACCTGTGCTCGGTCAAACGGGGTGGGAGTCCTGCATCACAGGAAAAGACAGGCTTAGCTCATCACAGAGATGGGTTCGGTGTGTTTGTAATGGTGAGGGACAGGAAAAGCAGATCAGGACTTTTTAACTCCTTAGGAGTCCGATAGCAACATGGCAAGACCTGCAGCAAATGACAGGCCTTTTCTTCCCACCTAAGATGCCATTATAACCTTGCTTAGCCTAGCAAGATACTTCTTGGATATAAAACAAATCCCCATTGAAGCTCTGGCAGGTTTTGCACAGTGTTTTGCAGTGCACAAGTTTTAGTGGCCATGCCGGATAGAGGGGAGGCCACAGTCTCCGTTTCAACGGGCTCTACCGACAACCATAGAGATGTGCTGTGTGTGTGAAAAGGATCCTATTAGAAGAGGAATTGACAGGGACAAGCTCTCTGGTCTTTAAAAAAGGGCTTGTCTGCAGGTATATGTTCAGCTAAGGACTGAGGCTCTGCTAGTGCTGCCTCCTGATTGCTCTAGCACATGTTGAGGCAAATGTCTTTCTCTTGGCCCTCACTCCAGTCCACATTTTGGGACAGCTTCTTTTGAACTATGACTAGTAGGAGGAGCAGTGCAGGGGCAAGAGCTGTCCTCCCTTTCTGCAGGAATGTGAGAAGGGACTGAGGAACWGAGCACCAGGCCTCCAAAGAGCCAGGAAATGGTGGTGGTTTTGGAGTAGTGCACATAGGCTGAYCTAGCAACGAGGCAGAGCTGGGAATGTTTGCTTTGGGAAGTGTTGTTCTAGCATGAATCTGCTCTTTGCAGCAGCATCCTAGGGAGAAATGAGGAGGGAAAAGGTAAATGAGGGAATTGTTCCAGATATTCACTCCATCTCTGGAAAAAAGGCAGTCATTTTCAAAGCAGGGATTTCACTGCCTCTCAAGGTTGCACACCTTGGCAAACTAGCTGGATACTTTCTCCTGATTTTTTAAGGTTGGAAATAAATCAGTCTGCTTTAATGTTGTTGAAGTGGTAAACTTTCCCTTGGCCTGTGACAAATGTGAACTGTGCTGAGAATTCACCTTGCTATAAGCAAGGCCGCTGGCTTCTCACTAGCCAATTTGATCCAAAAAAGCACATTTTTCTGCATTTTGGTATTTGATGAACTGAGAAGTGATTTGAAAGCCAACAGCTTGGAAGATCATAAAAAAAATGTTAAAAGTGGATCAGCTTTCTGCTTCTTTATGCCTCAGTGAAGAATTAGAGGAGGTGGCAAGAGGCTTGGTGTTAAATTAGTATCCATCTGTATTAAATAACAGTTCAAGACTTTAAATAGAAAGGCAGCGTGTGAGAGGGGAGAAATGGTACAGGGCAAAGCATTATTCAGAAACATACCCTTGCTTCGGTCCCCATCCTTAAATAAATATGGAGGCAGAAACATGGTTAAATGTTGAAAGAAAAGAGCCAAGTGTCTGCAGCAGCTTCTTGTTCTCCTTCAAGAGGATCTCTGATGTTGCTGCACTAGTGAACTTTTGAGATGATTGAAAAACCTACAGCCCTTTTGCTTCTCCATGCTTTCTCTCAGTCAACTGGACTTCAGCCTGCTTTTTTGGGCTGCTCTCTGAGTTCTTGTCTCTTCTGTTAACCCTCTTCCCTCTCTCCTTTCTCTTCTTCCTGCTCCAGGACTGATTAGGGCATGGTCAGCCTTTCAGAGCAGAGATGCATGGGGACAAATGCCTCCCTGGAGATGGTATAGAAGAGAGGAAACACAAGCGTGCAGCTTGCCAGGCTCTAAGGTTAAGCTCCAGCAGGCTGAGAAGAGCCCGAGAAGATTGGAGATCAGCAAATGGAAACCAGCAGCCCTGCCTCAGCCTGACTCCTGCCCTTTGCCTTGGCACAGGGCTGTGTTTGCAGCGTGGTAGCGTTGCTCGTTCCCCTGCAGTGCTTTCTGCCAAGTTTTCCCAAGCAGAGCAATGATGTTGTATGTGATTTAAATTCAAGCACGGTGAGGCTTCAGGAAAGTTGCTGTCCACACAAGTCCACCACTGCTGCAGACAGTCTGAAGTGGGAACAGTGCTATTTCCCATTAGGGAACTCCAGTGGGAATCTAGACAAGGTATTAATATTCTCTGCCTTTTCTCAACAGGAAAACTTTGACCTGATCTGTCTCTTTTTACAGAGTTCCTTTGACGTGTACCAAAGACATAAACTATTTATTATGGGGTTTTTGTTTGTTTTCTTCTTCCCTTCCTACCATGTGCTGTTCCTCCTTGAGGCTTCACTGTCTCAGAGGAGTCCCAAGGAGGAAGGCAGAGCAGGGTCAGTGCAGCTCTCACTTTGACAGCAGGATCCCCATGACCGGTCCCATGCCAGCGCTGCACTAAAGCCCTCCACCACCTTGCTCCAGAGGCTAAAGCAGAGGCTGCACTGGCTCGTGCACGAACCTTCCCAGCCAGACTATCACCAGTGTTACCTGTTGAAGTTCCTGAAGTCCCCGTGAGAGGCTTTCATAAGCAGGTGGTTCACGCTCTCCACAGGGAAGTGCTTCTCGTTGAGGAGCTCCTGCCACGGGGAGCGGTAGCCCTTGGGGATGGCGGTGGCGTTAAACTTCTCAGGGGGGACTTCTTTGAGGGGGCCGGAGTAGCCTGTGGTTGGGAAGAGAGCGCGTTGGTTACTTCAGCAGCAGCCCAGGCTGTGGCAGCGTGCTGCAGGGTGACAGTCCCCTTGGCATGGGGATGGGTGGGTTGGGGAGCAGCCCTGCTGTTGCACAGCCTTGGAGGGCCTTCTGCTGCCAAAGGAAACGTACTTCTGGACACAAAAATATGTTTCTCTATAATTAGTTATATATAGATTTAAGGATATATTATCTGTATGCTGATCCTTATTCTGATGTTTTTTAATGATAACCTGAAAAACCCAAGTAAAATGCCTGAACCCTTTAAGAATTTTCTTCCAGCATTTTTTTTTTTAAGACTCCTTCTCTACAGGCTTCAAGTTCATGTTTAAGAGAAACAGAGCCCAGTGCCTTGCCCRTCTCCCACCTGGTGCCGCCCAACACTGGGATATTCCTGGTTTTGTGGTGGTTTACCTGGAGCCAGAGCATCTGGATTGAGAACCTTGCTCATATGCAAGACTTTTTCTGTCTTCTTGGGCACTTCRGGAGGGCCCCCCCGGGCTGATGCCGCAACATGGAGCTCAGAGTGGTACCTCTGCTGTCCCTCAGCGCTGTCGCCTCTCTGCAGATGGGAGAGTAAGCAGAGCTCTGGAGACAACCTCAGGGCAGCTCCTGCCTGCTGCCCAAGCCAGAGCTCTCTGGAGAAGGTGAGGTGCAGGGAAGTCTTCTCTTTGAGCAAGGGAGTGCAAAGCAGCCACACCTGGCACCCTCGGCAGAGCTCATAGCAGTAAAAGCAGCTCACAGGGGAGCAGCTGTGCACACTGTTATCAGAGCCTGCAGGTGGGAGCTGTCAAGCTGTCACCTGCCCAGAGAGGCCTCCTTCAAGCCCAGAGCCCTGCGTGGAAGCTGCAGATCAGCAGCTCCAGAGGTGCCCTYGGCCCCTCCTGGGAAGCGAAGTTGGAGCCTGGGGCAGTACCTGCTTCTTCCCCTACTCACCGACCACTGGTTTGCCGCTCCCTCCGGGTAGCCTCCCTCCATGCCATGCGATTCTCCTGCCCCTGCACCGGAAAGCTGCAAGCAGAGGGGTTAGCAGGATCCATCACCTTGCTCTTCTGTGCACCTCTCCATGACCAGCCCCACCAGATTATAGCTTCCTCTCCCCTCCCTTAGCATCAGACTAACCTAGCACAGCCCTTAGGCCTGGCCGTGAGCCCTTGAACCCAGCAGTGGGCTCCTGGGCTTCACAAGCCATCTTCATAAAACATATTGCCATTAACTGAGTGTGAATATCCAGCTGCAGAGCCAGACCTTGGCTCTGAATATCCAGACCTTGAGCCCTGCGGAGAATCGCTTTCCCGCAAAGGCTGTAAAAGCTGGGGAATAATCCTGTGCCCATAGCTAGGGTACCAGGAGTGGCAAGGAGACCCACCTTCCTGTAGCCGCTGGGGTACTCAAAGATGAAGCGCTGCATCCGCCTCTGCCTCTGCTGGAAGAGCTGGGAGCCCCGGTTCGTCCGCAGGGACAGCTCCTCTATCATCACGTCCTGCGGCGTGCTGACCTTCTTGCCCAGGTCCAGCCGGGGGGCTGAGGACACGACACGGGAGTACAGTGGGAGCTGAGGCCCTTGCAGTGYGGAGGGTGCCCGAGCTCAAGGTGGAGGGGACAGCAGGATCCCCAGGCTCTGGCTGGGCTCAGCCTGCGGCAGCCCCTTGGCACAGTGTCCATCCCGCAGAGCTTGGCCCCGAACCCCCACCCGCGTGGGAGCTGCGCCCATGACTGTGTTTCCTTGGCGTGTGAATCATCAGGCAGTTATGTCAAGTCCCGAGGCTCAAAACAGCCTCTCCCTGACTAGTGCATGGACCCCGTATGCCCTCAACAAACATTTACTGCCTCTTGGGTGTAAAGGGGTGTAATGCAAGAGGGGACACAGAGCGCAGACACAGATCCCGGGCACCTGGGCCAAGGGCTGCAGCCAGAGCTGGATCTGGCGTGGGGAATGACACCCCACGCTGCCTTGGGAAGCGCGGGAACGCCCGGTGTCCCTTACCGTCTCCCGGTTCCGGTCTCATGATGGTCATCGCCTGCTGTCACGCTCCTGCTGTGGGTCCGGGGCCCAGTTGCTGTCCAGCTGGAAGAGAGAGGCAGCCCCACGGTGATGGCCACAGCGCAGGGACGTGCCAGCTGCCCAGGGTGCTGCAGGAACAGGCCGGGCTTGGACTTTGTGTCCTTGTGCCCAGGTGGTCCCTCTCAGCTCTGGGGATTTGTCTGCGTTTGTCACTTGCTCATCTCACCCCAGACCCACCTTGAGGTCCGGGGGAAGCCCAGACCCTGCAGCCCTCCKGGGCGGGCAGAGGCCCTGGCCGCCCCCGCAGCTCCAAGTTAGCAGGAGCTATTTTAAGCCTGTGCCCTGGCGGGGGCAGGAGCTGTCACTTGGACCCTGCAAGGTGCACAGTGCCCAGGCTGTCGAGCCCAGCAAGGGACAAGCTCTGCCAGGGGCTGGTGGGCTCCAGGCTCCACACACTGCCATGAGGAGCAGGGCCGGGTTGCTCCTTACCTTCCACCTGCCCTCATCTCCCTCAGGCCAGGGATGAGGTTGGTCCTGCTGGAAAGGGGGGTTACAGCGCACAGCACTGTGGGGAAATGCCCGGCCTAAGGAGGTGGCCCCTCATCCAGCCTCTGGGCTGGGTTCTCCAGCTGGGGCTGGCAGGGGGAGGGACCATCGGCCACCCCTCCCCGGGGGGGCTCCCTGTGCAGACCCTCTGGGGTGGTTTTGTGGCTGTTGGTCCGGGCAGGGGTCCCTCGGGGGCTGCAGTTTCGCAGTGCCTGGCACAAGGGCCCAGGTCCTTCTGCATTAAATATTAACCAGCCTCCCCTCCGCCAGCCCCAAGCCCCGGGCACGGGCACTCAGCCCCTTCCCTCAGCTCTCCCCACGTCCCCCGCTGCGCAGGGAGCCCCCGAGCCCCACGCACCCACACGCTGCCTCCCCTACCTGGCCGGGGGACAACTTGCACTCCCGCTGTGCTGAGGACCAAAGCTGCTCTCCGGCAGCTCCGGGCAGGAGGCTGCAGCTTCTCCCGCGCTCGCAGCCCCGYGAGCCCCTCGCGGCAGCTCAAGGGCTCCCGCCTCTCGCCCCGACCCCGCAGAGCTGCAGCCCGCTGCCAAGGGACACCAGTTATTTCTGGCGGAGAAAGGGGGCGGAGCAGGGCTGACCCTTGGGGACAGGGCTGCCGTCACCCCCGCGCGGAGCAGGGCCAGCTCCCGGGGACGAGGACGCCGTCCCCCCGGCGTGGCCAAGGCCAGCGGGCGCTGAGCGCGGCACGGTGTGCGGGCACGGTGAGCAACCTGCTGCAGCGCCGTGTTCCTGTGCCAGCCCAGGCTGTCCACCCGCCCTCCAGCATGTCCCAGTGTCACCCCTGCAGGGACAGCGGCACTGCGGGTACCCAGCCCTGCTGGTGCCCCAGCACTCGAAGCAGCCTGGAGAGCGGCTCTGGGCAGCGGGGCGCTGGGGGCACGACAGGAGCCRGGGGCGCCCTGGAGCACCGGGGGAAGGAAGGAGCCAGGCGGGTGGGATAACAGCAGTTTATTTGAGCTGGGGATACAAGTGGGTGGCAAAGGCAGCTGGCAGTGGCTGGTGGGGCAGAGAGGGGCAATGTGTGTCCCGAGGAAAGACAAGCGCTGGGACATGACACTGCTTGCTCCGCTCGAGGAGGCCCAGGGAAGAGAGGGAAGGGAAGGAGGAGCCCAGGCTCCCCTAGCCAGGAGTACTCCAGTGCCCAAACACAGCCCCTCAATTAGGGTATGTCCCAGCACCCCAGCTCTGCTCTGCTGGGCAGGGGGCTGCTGCGTCGGGGTCGAGCTGTGTCCTTGCCTCTTTCTGGCATCCTGGGACCACCTGAGGGCCCTGGGGAACCTGGTGCCCCTCCATGTGGTGAAACGCTCTGGACACCCCCTGCTCTGCCATGTTCCTAATCTGCCCTGACTCCCTCCTCTCACCGGCACCAGCTGCTCCTCTCTCCGACACCGCTGCATCCAGCCCCCATCAGGGAGCCGAGCTCCCCAGGGGGACCCCGACCCATCCTGGCACCCGCTGCACATCACCTGCTGCACTGAGTCCTCCCGCAGCCCCTCTGCAACCTGCACCATGTCCTGTGTCCCACACGTGGCCCTGCCACCTCCTCCCAGCTGGCACCCAGGGCCGCAGCCCCACTGGTCCCCTCAGCGCCCTCAGCCAGGGTGGGGGACTGGGGTGAGCATAGGGATGGGGATGGGGGTGAGGGATAGGGATAGGGATAGGGATAGGGATAGGGATAGGGATAGGGATAGGGATAGGGATAGGGATAGGGATAGGGATGGGAGCTGCCCTCTCTGCCTGGGCTGTGTTGGGGGTACCCAGCAAATGCTCCCCTTGATGTGACAATAAATAGCTTGGGCCTTCTCTTTGGTCATCAGGGGAAGAATCTGGGGAAACTTGTAACAGAAGGGATTAAAGAGAAAGAAAAATAAAGCAGTGAAGATTTTGCAGCTTTGGGGAGTCGACTAGAAAAGCAACTTCTCCTCTTGCAAACCCCAAATAGAAACGAACCCAGTATGAGCTGGAGCCTGGGTCGCTCACCCTGCTTGGGAACACTGCTGGCGGGCCTGTTCCCTTGGAAGAGCGGGCAGGGTGAGGTGCCACCCTGGCCAGGGAGAGAGGGGACAGCAGGGCAGGGGACACACAGGCATTGGGGGCGCACAGGCTGTCCCGGCCCCGCGCGCCGGCGGCTCCCGTGGCCTCTGTGCGGGCGGCTGCCRCTCCCGCTGGCCACGCGGCGCTGCCCGTAAAGGTTAGGGCAGTAAAAATAGCGCGGGGCCATGGGATCCTGCGCAGGAGGAGGCACCTGACCCCGCCGGGGGAGCCAGGCACCAGCGGAGCAGGAGGCTGCTCTGCCAGGGCTGCGGGGCCGAGGCGAGCATGTGGAATAGGCTTTCTATGCACACCCCCGGCTTGTTCCTCCTCCCAGGCCTCCTCTTCGGCTCCATCCCTGCCTGACGAGGCAGAGCGTGGGCTGCATCCTTGTTTCAGTGGTCCAGCAGCCCCTGGAAGGATGGAGCTGCCCATCTGCAGCCCTCCCAGGGCCTGCGGCTCGCAGCAGCCGCCCGCACCGCTTTGCGATACTCCCTTTGCTTGCTACTACTGTTTGGCAGCCGCAGCCCCAAGGTTGGGGCATGGGTGACGAGGTTCCTGGGACATGAGCTGTCCTCCATCAGCACGGAGTCAGCGCGAGCTCCGCAGGGCCAGGAAGTCCTTGTGGAGCAGCCGAACGAGCCAYGTGGCAGCTCGGAGGGAGCGGACGTGGCCGTGGGGCAGGACTGCAGCGCTCTGGGGCACGCGGTGCTCCTTGGCTCCCCAGGGACACGTCTCGGGGCTCTCTGGGGAGGGGACGCGGTTGGCAGCTCCTGCAGGCTCACAGCCCCCAGTGCTGCGGCTAGGGGTGCTGAGCGAGGACCCAGGGCCCCGCTGTGCCCTGGGGCAGGGGCRCAGGCCGGGCCCTTCCCTCCATGGCTGAGGCTGCTGCCAAAAGGGCGGGTTTGGGGGCTTTTGGGCTTCAAACTTGCACTCTGCCCGCTTCCCAGGCGGGCACAAGAGCAGCACGTCATTCCCCRGGGCAGGAAGCAAGCGCCGTGCGGGATGCACTAGGGACCAGCGGCACCGCTTGGGGCCAGGAGCTGGCCAAGCTGCTGGCCTCTGCTCCGGGGCCGTGGCCACCACCAGCACCGCGTGCGGGCCGGGGCGGGCCGCCTCGGCGGCAAGAGGGTGCTCGCAGCTCTAGGAGGTGCAGGGCGCCCCCGGCRCGAGCCCGCCCTGCTTCAGCCGCAGGCTCCCGTTCCAGCCGCGTGGGCAGATGTTGAAGCTGTGGATCCCGGGGCTCTTGGCGCCCGAGTCTTCGGAGTCGAGGGAGACGTCCGAGTCCGTCGGGGAGCGGGAGGTGTAGCGCTTGGCGGGGGAGCGCACGCCCGCCCGTGGCGAGGCCAGGGGGCTCTTGGAGGCCGGCGAGCAGCCGCCCAGCGTCCGGGGGCCAGGGCAGGAGGARGCACCAGGCGGCAGCGCCCGGGGAGGCGGCCGGCACCCATCGGCCCAGCCGGCCCGGGCGGCCACAGGGCTGGTGACAGCAGCCACGCCGAGCCCCAGGGTGCCGGTGCCAGCGGAGACGCGGTGCCCGYTGGCCCGCGGCGATTGCAGGGGGCCTTTGCAGGCAGGGGAGAGGCTGCCGGGGGCAGCCCGCGGGGAGCGCGGCAGGCTGGGGGTGCCTGCGCCAGGCGGCGGGGCCACAGGCGGGCAGCCCTCTGTCCCCCCGGCTTTGGGAGAGGAGCTCTTCCTGCGCGCCGCGTTGATGATGTTCCTGGCGAGCCGGGCTTGCATCTGGCGGCTGGCCCTGGCGTCRGCGTCGTGCCGCAGCGGGGACGGGGAGCGCTCGCTCCACGGCGGGGACGCGGGGGGCCCCTCATCGAGCTCGGGCACCGAGGCCGGGCTGGCCCAGCCGTCGGTGCTGCCCTGGCGCCGCGCCRGCTGCGGCGTCCACGTGGGGGAGGCGGGCAGGGACGACCGCCTTTCCTGGAGGGGACAGAGAGCCGTTAGTGTCCCGGTCCCCCAGCCCCGGGGGACACGGGGGACGGCACCCGGCAGCGGGCGGCAGCCCAAGGCTCCCAGTCCCGCAGCCTCCACTGCCCACAGCCGCCCAGCATCTCCTTGCGAGCCCGCAGGAAAGAGAAGAGGCAGATTTGACAGTGCACTTGAGTGTATTAAGAAAAAGGAAACAGAAATACACAGAAATTCAAGCCGAGTCAGAAGGCAGCTTGTTAGTACAGAACAGGAGGCTGGAGCAATGCAGCTGTAGCGGCTCCGAGCTGCCACTCRCACTGCCCTGTCCTACATGCCAGCCACTACCAGGGCCACAAAACGTTCCTTCCTGCCCCATTCGTCTCCCCCAGCTGCACGCGCTGGCGTCAGGGCYGGCCGGGCACCGCGGCTCTCCACAAAGCTCCTCAGCCTCTTGGGTGGGTATCCGGGCTGGGGCAACCTGCCCCTGGGCTGTGAGCTGTCCCCATGGATGTGCCCCACGGGTGTCACCCAGGGGAGCCGCCCCTGCCCTCCACCATCGTCCCCTGCCCTCGGGGCTTGCCTCTGCACGTCCCTCCTCTCCCTGGTTAGGACGGGCAGTCCCACTTGTACCAGCTACGGCACCACCAGCTCTTCTATTTCTGCCCCTTGTAAACCTGCAGCCGCTGGAGCTGTTAGGCAGCAAGAGCTGGGCCTGGCAAAGTGATCTGAGGCAGAGGAACGGGGTGAGACCCTGGCGACTGAGATGGCAGGATGGGTCCCACCGCCGGCTTTTGCCAGTCAGTCGGCTCCCTGGACTTTGCTGAAATCAGAGCTGGCAAGAGGCGAGCGCACAAAGCYGAGCTTGACAGAGGCCATCGTGGGCCCTGCTCCCCAGCGCCGGATCGTAAGTAAAGGAGGCCAAGCCTGGCACGACCAGGGACCCTCTGGTACGAGCAGGAACAGAGACGCCGAGGAGTCCCCACATCCCAGCGCAGGCTGGCTCTGCACAGGTGTTCAGCTTCTCCGTGGCATGGAAGTAAAGAAGGAAAAGAAAACCCTAAAGAGCATCAGAAGAGACAGGAGCAGGCACGGTGCGGTGGAAAGACGACCTGTCCCCTCCGGGTAGGCTTTGGTAAGAGGCCAGCAGGACAGAGAGGCTGCAGAGGAGCAGGCAGAGTCAGGACTTGCTTGCCAGAGAGCTGGAAATGCAGGTGAGGAGAAGAGCCAGAGATTTGATGCTCTGCAAAGTTTCCAGGCAAGAGAAGTGAGAAAGCACTGCGGGCCCTGCTGGTCTGGCCCGGCTCCAGCCCGCGTGCTGGGGCAGCCCCCAAGCTGCGCCGTGCTCCCCGGAGCCCGCGTGGTGCCAACGCGCAGCCCCGCTTAGGCGGGCTCGCCCACGCCCTGTCTTRTGCTCCCCGAGGCTTCGGCTGTGCTGCCGAGACAGGGTCTGCCCACACATGGGCACAGTCCTGACAGCCTCCAAGCTACTTTTTTTTTTCTTTTTCTTTTTTGGTTGGTTTTTTGCACACCCATGAGCAACTAGAGCGGAGTTGGGCAGCGGAGGAAGCCTGAACATGTTTCCTCTCTGACCCCACTACTTGTAGTAAAAAGAAGGTTTCCACACCTGCGGCTCGATCCCCGCGTTCCTGGTGGAGTAGGATGGTCTGGGCGCCTGGAAGCCTCCCTTGGGCCTGGGTGAGAGCAGGCGGCACGGGGAGGCGAGGAGCACGTCCGTCTGCACCCTGGCGCCCGGCTGGCTCTCGTGGGTCGGGGTCACAGCCCCGGCGGCGGTGGGGAAGGGGCTGGAGGAAGGCCCGCTGGCCCCAAGCCCCACAGGGCGATGCCAAACAGGGGACGGAGGTAAGGGAGAGGTGGGGCAGGAGGTCTGCTGCGGGTCCAGGTAGGCGTCGGGAAGCGCGGGCCTGGGTGGAGGCGTCTCGCGGGGTATGGACCTCAGGGGCCCTTTGGATGGGGAGAGGATGAAGAGTGAAGACTGGAGCTGGTAGGGCTGGTGCTTGGAGATCTCCAGCTCCTTCTGRGAGACCTCGTTCTCTACCAGGCCCCCACCATACAGAGATGCCGGAGGGGTTTTGAAGGGCCTGGAGGGACTCTTGAAGGCATGCCTGGAGATCATAGGTGACGCGCAAACGTTGGTGTCATACTTCCAGGAGGGAGGCAGAGACATGGTGGGTGATGGGGACCGCAGAAGGTCAGGCTGAGATGGAGCCTCGATGATGAACTTCTCCATCCTTGACTGCCTCCTGGCGAACAGCTCGGCTCCCTTCCCTCGCGCCTCGGTGAGGTTGTGGCTGGGCTTGATCTGGGGCTTCGGCTGGATGGTTGGGGACTTGAGGCAGGAGGACCACGCTGGAGCGTCCTCAGCCGGCGGGAGGTGCTGCCCGGCCCTGGCCGCACTGCCAGCGAGGAAGTTGGCAGCTTCTGCCCCCAGCGCAAAGGGCTCKTCCTCGGCACCAGCTTCTCCCTGCTCCTTCTGCTTCTTCTTGATGTCTGAGTTCTGGACCAAATCCAGCAGGTCAGGGTTGGGGCCCAGCTTTGGCTTCTCCACAAAAGTGAACATGGATTTTCTGCCGGCTCTGCGCGCAACCGACTCCTCCAGGATGCCTGTCTTGGGCAGGGGGGCCGGGCTGCGGCTCCTGCCCGGCGCCGGGAGCGGTTTCTGCTCCCCGGCGGGGTACAGCGCCGAGTAGGCGGGCGGTGAGCGCACGCGGGTGAGCGGCGGGGGGCTCGTCAGGGTCTCCGCGTACGTGGGTGGCGGGGGCAGTTCGGCCACAGGGGCCTGCTCCACAGGCTGGCTTTTCACCACGGACCCCTGGATGCCAAAGGGCCTGGCCGTCCTGTTCTTCACCGGCTTGGGCTTGGCCAGGGTGAGGTGGACCTCGTAGTACTGCCTGCCCTGCGTGCCGTTCGCCTTCTTGTCCTCAGGCGCGGGGGCTGTGGTGGTGTCGCTGGCGGCGGGGTCGCTCTGCTTGCTGCCCACGTCATCGCCGTTGGCGTGTGGCGCGGCCCCGCGCCGGGCGGGCCAGCGAGCGGCGTCTCCGCGGGCCCCACGCCCTCSCTCTGCGTCTCTCGCGGGCCCGGCTCGTGCAGCCCGTTGGCTGATGCCATGTTCTCCTTCAGGTAGACGCTGAGCGGCACCTGCTGCAGCTCCGCGGGCGGCTCCTCGCGGGCGGGCRGCCCGTCGCGCTCCATGGCGGGGCTGCCGTCTCCCTCCATGCTGCCTTCGGGGGGTGCTGCGGCGGGCGCTGCGCTCAGGGGCGGAGTGGCACCATGACCCCCGCCGGCCGCGGCGCCCCAGGAGAGCTCGTCRAGGCGCTGCCTGCGCCGGTGGAAGAGCAGCGCGCCCTTGGAGCTGGCGCCGGGCGCCGTGGTGAGCTGGGCCGCGATCCGGCGGCTCCGCGCCTTCGCCTCCCGCAGCTCCTTCTCGGAGAGGCTGGCGCTCCGGGAGAGACCTGGGCAGAAGGGAGAGCGCGGGTTAGCGCGGGATCGCCGGCCAGCCCCACGTGGGCACCTACAGCCTTTCCTTGCATTTTCCCTCATCCCCGAACCCTGGCGCCTGGCCGCAGCCTCCCCWGGCCGCTCTCCCCAGCAGGACAGCGGCTGGGGAAAGCGTTCAGGCACCCAGCTGGCCACAGGGCAGCTGCTTTTGCTGCGCTCAGCGCTACGCACGCAGTGACCGTATGGGAAAGGAATTTCTCAGAAGACTTCAAAAGGTCTCAGGTTGCAGTTTGCGCAGGCATGTCCCTCCTCTGAGATCCCCCTCCCCAAATCCCGGCCTGCAAGCAAGGAAAACCAGAGCTGGGAGTTGTGGCTGTCTCCGCATGGGTGGACAGGAGCACGCGATGAGGCCGGCTGGGACTTGCTGGTGAAGTGACACAAGGTGGCAGCCRCTGCTAGAGGAGCAGCGAGCCTCAGCCCACCCGAGCACAGTGCCAAGCTCATTCCTTAGGAGCCTACAAATGTGCTAAAAACGGCAGCCAAGGGCCTGCTAAACCCCGCATAAACCCCTCTGGGTGCCGCTGGGCTTTGCAAATGCTGGCCAAGAGGTCAGAGCAAAAGCCCGTTCCCACGTCCGAAAGGACATGAAATTGCAGGGAACAATTTCCCTGGCTGAGCAATTTCCTGCGAGCACAGCCCGGGCCTCCCGCAACTCGCCCCGCTGCACGCAGGGCCGAGGGCAGCCGCGGCGCCTGCCCGGGCCCGCAGGCGCTGCTGCCCGTGGGGCGGCCTCTGCTGTGTCCCCTTCCTCCTTGTTCCCGGCCCCAGCTGCTCGAGCCCCCTTGCAGAAACAGCCAGCAYCACATTCACCCGCAGCCCTTGGCTGGCTGAGGGTCACCAGCTGCTCCCCTGGATGCCCCAGTGTAGCAGGGTCTGCACAGCCCCGCGGTGGGGCTGCAGGGAGACAGAGGTGGGTGGCCAGGGCCGCCCGCCCCGAGCCCAGCTCCTCCGAGCGCAGCCAGCGTCCACTCCCCTTCAGTTCACATGTTTTTCATTTTCTTGCCTTCTGTGCCGCTTGGGAACCTTCCAGGGTATTTTAAGCGGTGGTTCAGCCTACCAGCAAAAGGAAAGGATGAATGACTAAGCCAAATCCTTCCAGCAAGCTCTTGGTGAAGCGGGAAGGCTGCTCCAAGCTGGGCATCTCTTCCTAGGCACCCACGCTGCCTTCCCCAACACCCGCAGCCGGCTGCTTGCAGCAAGTCCCTGCCTACAGACGCATTTCCTTGCCCTGCTTTCTTAGGYAGGAACCCATACATCTCGGCCTGTTCCCGCTGCGCCCTGCTCGATGGGCACCTCCAGCATCCCGCACCGTGTGCAGGGACCTGCTCCAGGCCTGCATGGGTGGCTCTGCCCAAAGCTGCTCCTCCAAAGGCAGCGCTCTGGCTAGGGAACCGTCTTCTGGCTGCACAGAGGGGAAGGAAGAAAACCCAGCTGGGCGACTCTGGCGAAGGCAAGCGCTGCCCTCCCTCCGGCACTGATTTGCGAGGTGCTGCCAGCTCCCAAGGCTAGTCATCCCCTTGCTGGCAAGCCACGACCTGCATTTCGTGGCCGGGCCACTGCACCCAGCCACCGTCCCCTCCCCGTGCGGCTCTGCTTCGGCAGGATGCAAATTCCTGCCCTGTGTCTCAGAGCAGATCTCACTGTGCTTCTCTCCTGCCTTGCCCCTCCTCACACARACCCCACCATTGGCAGCATGGAGGAAGGCAGCTGAAGAGGAGGAGGAGGAGGGTGGACAGAGTCTTCAGCCCACCCAGGAGAGGCGAAGGAGACGGGCTGCTGCTGCTGGTGGGAGGATTTTGGCTGGGTGATGGGGACAGAAGGCAGAAACGCCGATGGAAACTCTCCTGGAAACAACGAAGCCGAGCGAAGCAGCAGCGCCGGCGTCCAAGCTCTCCCGGTTTGAAGCCGGCTCTGTTGAACGCACCACGTCTATTTGCTTTGGCTGCGGCGCCGCGCAGGGAAGCGGCTTCCTCGGTCGGGCTGGGCGGGCTGGAGGGCGGCCAGCGTCACRGGCTCCCCGCGCCGCCTCTCCCTCCGCACAGGGGCAGCAGCGGGGCCGAGGGGCTGTCGAGGAGGCAGCCGCAGGCTCCAGCCGCCTGCGAGCCGCCTGCTCGAGGGGAGCCGTGCCGCGCACCCRCGCTCGCTCGCCGGCCAAGGCCGCCTAAGACGCAGTGCTCTCGGCGGGGCCATTTCAGAGCCGCTCGCTTTCGCTACTGCCTGTTAATAGCGGCTGCAGGGCCTGCCGCTTCTCCTTGCTGAGGGAGGCTCAGCGCTTGGCCAGCAGATTCCTGCCTGGACTAGCGGCCGGCCAGGCCCAGGGGCTAACGCCTCCCTCATGCAGCTGGGTGGCACCAGGGGCACGTGTGGGCACGTGAAAGCCATGCRCAGGACCGACGGGTCAGTGTTGGAGCCTGGTGCCGCTGCCAGCTCACAGTTTCACCTGCAGGCTCCCAGCCTGCAGGCCAGCCCCCAGGAGCAGCACTGCGGCTCCTGTGACGCACCGTGCCCCTGGTCCCTGCTCCAGCCCCAATCACCCTCCTGGACCGACTGCTCAGCATGGGGAGATCCACAAGGCAGGACCCCCAGCCCGGAGCCCCTGGCCCTGCCATCTGCTTCCAACATGCCCCTGCAGACCCACATCCCTGACTCCCACGCAGCGCCATTCCGACAGCCCCCAGGGCCCTCTGTCCATTTTGTGCGAGCCGTTTCGCAGCTCCTCCCTCCGAGCTCGGGGGAAGGCAATTACTAGCAATGATAATAGTGGTGGTGCTAATAATYGTTTCTAGCATCTGATTTTTATTGCACAGATGGAGAGCACTGGACCCTCTGGCAGCCCAAAGGAAATTGCAGAGAATAAGATTATTATGCGTGATTACTCTCCRTGCACACACTCCCCTGCTCACAGCACTGGTTACTCGTGCTGGGACCGCCTGTCCCCTCGCCAGGTCACTGCGCCTCCGATTTCAGCCATGGGACAAAACTATTCAACCTGGCGTAAGAGTATTCAGCCCCCAGGGACACGACGTCGGTGCCGGCAAACAGAGCCCTCGCAGCACCCCTTGCTCCCGTCCCGGCTGCAGGAGCCGCGGAAATGAGCCCTTAATCCTCGTCCTGCCACCTCGGCAGTCGGGCATGTCAGGGTTCATAGCCACGCAGCTCCCCCAGGCAGATGAGATGGAGAGCAATGCACTGAGAACACCCAGGTGCTGGGGAGCAGGGAGCCAGGGTGCACGCAGGGCTGAAGGAGCCCGAGTGGCATGGAGAAAGGGCTCAAGCAGAACTATATATGGCCAGGCCATCCAGGGCTACGGCGACGCTGGAAACCGCCTTCCGGCCATCAGGAGGTGGCTAGGAAAGAGTCCAAGTGCAACGGGTGACTTGCTCTTCTTGCGTTCTTCCAGTCTTCCTTCCTTCCTTCCTTCCCACGGCCACTCATGGCTCGCCACGGCGCTGGAGCTCAGGGAGGAAGCGTCGCCCGTTTCCAAACGTCCCGGCTTCTTCCAAGAACAATGAATTCRGCACCGCCGGCACACACCCGGCTTCGGACCCAGTCAACCTTCATCCTGCAGCACCGCYAGCTCCCAAAGGCCTTCATCTTAGGAAAGAGGAGCCTATAGCTCTCTGTCTATATATTTATATAGGAACTTGCTCCTTGGGTTTCCAGCTGCCCCAGGAATGACTTCCCGCAACATCCCCGAGGTGCCAGGCTTAATAGCTTCTTCCTGAGCTGTCAGTTAACCTTCCCGCAACAAGTACGGCTCCCTCCTCCAGGGTGAGGATGATGAGGGCGATGAAAGGCATGTTTGTTGCTCTCCTCTCACAGCCAACTGGCAAACAAAATTCCTTCCAGCTCAAGTTTCCAGGCAGAGGACAGGTCCCCTTGCACAGGGCTGCTGGAGAGCATCTGAAATATATATAGCAAGGCTGGACTCACTGTGGGACCCCAAACAACCGTGAAGGATGTATCAGAGCCTCCTGCAGCCGGTCCTACCCTGACAGCGACCTCCAGAGAGTGTCTTCAGCTGGACAAGGACAGGATCCATCCCCCAGCTGCAGGAAGGGGAGAGAACCCAGGTCTCTCTGAGCTGACTGGCCCAGAAGATGCAGTCGAAGCTGATGGTTCTGATACAGCCAGGATGTCACCACACGTCCTTTCAGGCCAGCTGATGGTTTGCAATGAGAACCCCCAGCAAAAACTCTCTCCTAGGCCAGTATGTAACCTACTTGGCTCAGATGCWTTGTGAATAAGCTCAAAACCAGAGAATTCTGCAGCAAGTTTTGGAAGAAAAATAGTGCTTTGGAGGTTGTCACCTCATGGTCTGGGTGTTTCCTAGTACCAGGCACAATGGCAAAAAGTCCCATGCAGAGAACATCGATGCTAGTGGTGAATGGAGCCTCCTGACGGGACTGGTGGGCTGGGACCGGACACAGGAAATCTCAAGCTCCAGAACTGGTTTGTGGCTCCCATACTTGGATCCCAGATCTCCGCGCACAGCCTGCTCCTGGTTTGRAGGATGGCTGTGCAAAGGCTGCGATCCCCCTCACAGGCGCTGGCCTGGGCGGGTGAATGCAGGAGGCTGGGGAGGCCGGACCGGCCCCGCGCAGCCAGCGTTTTGTGCTTGTCCTCGGGCACAAAGCGGAGCAGGGGACGAGCCGCCCTGCCGCGGGCATGCTGGGGCACTCCCGAGCAGCCCTGCAGCCAGGCCTGCGAGCAGCCGCTCTTGCCCGGCGGCTCCCGCGCTGCTCATCCAGATGTGCCCAGATGCTCYGGGGGAGGGCGCAGGGGGAGGGCGCAGGGCTCGGGGCGGGAGCCACCCTGGCTCCTTCCCCTCCGCATTCAGGATGAGATTAGCAGGAGAGAGCTGCAGCCGGCAGGATTCCTCGAGCCACATCCCAGGGTGAATCCCGCTCCGCACCGTTACCTACGGCGCAATCCTGGGATTGCAACCTGCGGCGGGGACGCCCCGGATCAGCCCTCTGCACCTTGGCTGGGTACAAAATACCTCGCACGGCGATGGGACCGCAGCTGGTCCTAAATGACATTACTCCCAGGGCAGTGATGGGTGGCACCGGAGGGGAATTCAGTTTTCACCCCAATGGTGGGTGCTTCGGGCACCGAGGAGATGCAGGCAGGGTTTTGGCACGGAAGCCAACTGGCCTTTTGCCCCAGCTACAGCTGTGCGAGATTTTCTGCAGTGAGTGCAAACTGCAACACACTAAAGTTCCCTCTTTCCTCCACTCCCAGAGTCATCCCAAATAATCTACTGCAAGGAAAACAAGGAGGGCAGCACAGATGGACAGGCTAGTTTGAAACAGACGCAATTAAAATGCACAGATATAAATACAACCATATTCCGCCTCTCTCCCTGCTTCCAATCCTCCTTTAACCAGATCCAAGTTTTTGCCCCAGCCGCCCTATGGCCCCGCAAGCCCCGCGCGAGGGGCAAGGGCGGCTCTGTGGGAACCGATCCCCCTCCTGGCAGGCCGCACCATGCCGGGCCTCTCCTCGCTGGTGCCTTTGCCAGGGACAAAATCCGGCACAGCAATAAAATTCGATTCGCTTGCAAGTTTTCGCTGAGCTCAGTTTGCAAGGGCTTTGCTGGACCGGGGGCTGTTGGCCCGCGCGCGGCCGCTGCCTGGCACTCAGCAGCTCCAGGGGCTTGCCCGGGCTCCCCAGCCGCGCTGCGAGCCTTGCAGCACCCGTCTCCCACGCGAGGAAAGACAGAAGTGGCCATAAAGCAGTGGGGCAAGGAGAAGGGATGGGGATTTTTGCTCTTTCGCAGCTGCTGGCTGTCCCTGCCTTGCCCAGACGCGAGCAGCTACTGCCTTCAGAGGATGCCAAGGGGAAGCCCTGCTTACATCCACTTGGGGGAAGGAGAGGCTGCTGCCACCACTAAACCAGAGCCAGCTCCTTCCCCCAGCCCGTCTAAATTAACCTCTTAGCCCCGTTAGGGAGGCAGGGGCAGAGGCACCTCCTCCAGGCTGCCCCAGCTCAGCCCTCCGGGGAGCAAAGCGGGYGGCAGCCTCAGCCCAACACGGGGCCATGGGCTGTCCCAACAGTGAGGCCAGGTACGGGGGCACCCAGCCACCCCCAAAAGTGGCCGGCCAGGGGAATCCCAGCCCTCCTCACTCCTGATGGATCCTGACAGATCCCTGGCTGCAGATCCAGGTAACATCCCTGTCTGGGCAGTCCTGCGGGCCAGGAGGCGATGGCCTTGTGCGAGAAGGTCATCTGGCTCTTCTTGTCCTGACGGATGGAAAGAGCAGGGAGGGGATGGGCACGAAACGGTGCCTTTGAACGTCTTACACAATCCGTAACAGATCCTGCTGGCTGCCAATCCTGAGGGACAGACCTTGTGTCTCCAGCGCGAGATGGCAGGGCCACGAGGAGCCCTGCTGGGAGCAGCTCTGTGCCCAGGGAAGGACGTGCAGGGGGACAGGAGATGCGGCGCTGCCGAAGCCGGGCGCGGGTCCCCGCTTCGCCCGGGGGGCAGGGGGCACAGGCACCGCGCGCCCCGGCCCTCCTCCCCCGCGCTCGGACGGGCTCTGCCTGCCCTTTCCCGGGGCGTCCCCTCCCTGCACCCCCAGCCGCCCGCCCGGGCTCCCGCAGCGCCCCAGCACGTCCCGCC